GTACCTGGAGAAGTTCTAGATTTCAGCAAGTTCTAGAATCATAGAATCATAGGATGGAAGGGACCTTGGAGGTCTTCTAGTCCAACTCCCTGCCCAAGGAAGGAGTCCTCATACCATCTCGGACAAATGGTTGTCCAATCTTTTCTTGAAAATCTCCAGCAATGGAGCACCCACAACTCCAGGAGGTAAGCTGTTCCACTGCTTAATAGTTCTCACTGTCAAGAAATTCCTCCTTATTTTGAGGTTGGATCTCCCTCTGATGAGCTTCCACCCATTGCTTCTTGTCCTACCCTCAGGTTCCCAATGTAGAGCTGATTTGAAAGGGTGCCTTGTAACCATCCCCCTGTTCAAGTACCAGATACCCTTGATGACATGTGTTATGCTTAGTTGTGGGCAGGATTTAGGGCAGCGTCCCCCAGATGACCTTGATTGGGACACTTGAAGGACAGCTGATGAGTTGACAAGCTGCGAAACCTGGATTATTGGTAAGCAGTCACTCTGTATATAAGTACTGTACTAGCTGACTTCAGAGTCCTTGATTAGGAGGAAAGAGAAAAAGATCTCAGTGGTCAAGATGCCCCAGCGTTGAGCTGGACTCCCAAGGACTTCATGGCAACAGAACCAGAGACCCACAGCATGTGAGGGGTGAAAGGCGCCTTGGAGATTACTTCCCTCCCAGAATGAGCCTCCCTTCCTTCTGTTCAGCTTCAGGAAAGCTGACATTGGGCATTTTACTGTAGGTTTTAATCATTATTTTGGAATATTGTTCTTTCACTTTTACAGTATTTTAACTGGCTTGCTTGAAGGAGGATCATAAGGAACTCGAGTACTTTTGGATCAGAGCATTTAGAACCCAGTAAATAAAATAAACAAATAAATAAATCTTAGTCCAACCCCGTTCCCAGTGCAGGGATCCACTGCAACAGCTTCCTTGACAGGTGTCCTTCCAGCTTCTACTTAAATCTCTCCAGCCAAGGAGAGTCTTCCACTGTGGCACAATTCTTACTTTAGGAAATGTATCCAACCAAAGTCCAACCAAACTCTATCTTCTTCTTGTCCATTATGCCTTGAGCTGCCTCCTGGAACAACTTTGAATAATTCTGCCCATTTTCTACATGACACTCATTCAGGGACTTGAAGACAGCAATCATGTCTCCCTGCAGCCTTTCTTCTCCAGGCTAAATATCTCCAAAGCCTCCAAACATTCCTCCTAAGTTACATTTTTCTTTCTGGACCATTTAACCCCTTGGTTGCTTCTCCCTGGACATGATCTGGTCTCTCAATGTCCTTCCTAAAACACAGTGCCCAGAACTGAACCCAGTCTTCTAGATGAGGTCTGACCAACATAGAACAGAGAGGAACAGTGGCTTCTCTTGACCTTGAATTTGCCACTATCTCCTTCTGGGATGTTTTTTTACTACCCTGTCCAGCCTCCAGACCTGGGATACCTTCATAGTCTTGTGTTTAGAGTTAACCAGGACTCACCCTGCTTAGCTTTTTCAAGGCCAGCCAAGGTCATCAAGATGCTGCTATAGATACCCTGCAGAGGCTTTACAACCAAGGAAAGATTAGTCAATCTTTGAGGAGAGAAATACCAGCTTGTGGGAATAGCAGGTGGAAGAGTGTGGGAGACCCAGCTCAAAGTGCTCCAGCTGAAGGAGGATCTCGCCAATTCTCACGAGCAGCTGATTGTCAACCACAGGGAAATGGAAGAGCAGGTAAGTTCTTTGAACCCGGAGCTCTTCCATTGTACCCTTCACAGGGTTAGCCCAGTACATACCTCTAGGCTTGATTGATCTCTATATTAGGAATGAAAGAGAAATTCAGTTTGTTTCATTTAATTTACATATTCCATTATTCCCCATTTTCAGACGTATTTATTTTTATTTTTCTTTATGAATGTATAAACCACTTCAGTCAAAGTGCTGAACAGCAGCAACAGCAGCAGCCGAGGAATGAATGAATTGAAATGTAGCAACATCTAAATTCACAGGTCTCCAAACTTTGCTGTGTAGTTCACCACCAACAACAAAAAGAGAAATGTATGTTCAAGAATGCATACAATCACGATAATAATGACCAAAACCAGGCAGATGAAGGAGCAGTGGGGCCAGAAGTTAATAGAGCAGTTCAAAGAAAATGGCCGGCTGACAGGAGAGGGGAAGTGGGGGGGGCAGCGCCCTGGACTGTGGAAACAGGACCCTTCACGGGAGATGTGCCAGGCTCGTCATTCCCTGGCCGACGGCAATTTTTTCTGTTGGTCTCTTTTCTTTTCCCGGCCATTGGTGGGGAGTAACCGAAAGACCGCAGCTGGAGAACCAACTGCTGAAAGACAAAGTGGATGCCCTTGAGGGGCATGAGTGAAGGGGGAACTTGGGAGGTTTTTGACTGGTTCTTCCCCTCATTAGCGCAACCTGGGCAAAGGCCAGCATGAACTTTGCTTCTGCCCTGACACTGATGCCATTTTCGCTTGCCGAGGACCAGGCAGGGTGGCTTCTCTCTCCGTTCGCCCCCTTCTTCCCTCCATTCTTGGTAACTGGAAGAAGGCGTGCGGGAGGTCTCCTTCCTGCAGAGGAAGCTGCTACTAGCCCAGAACAAAGTGGTCCAGCTGGAGAAAAAGCTGGTCCGCTCCCAAAAGCAGATGCAGCAGGTACCAGAGGAGCAGGTGTGGACACCACGCCCAGCGCATGACTTCCCAGCTCCACCTGAGCTGACCCACCTCCCCTTCTGGCAGGCCGGCACCACCGAGGAGGAGCTGGGGAGCCTCCACTGGCAGAGGAGCACCAGGCGGCCAGCCTGGCCAGAAAGGAAGAGAAGCTGGAGGTTCTCCAGCTGGAGCTGGCGGCGCTTAGATGCAAGTACCCGAGTGCAATCAAGAAGGTAGGGGGGGCTGCTGGGAGGGCAAGGCTGGCCAGGGTCCCCTTGAGATGCGTGGGAAAGGATGCAACCAGCCTCCTGCTTGGCAGCTCATGTTCTTCTTCCCTTGCCCTCTCCCCATGGGCCTTCCTCTGGTAGAGAGAGGAGTTGAGGAAAGAAGTCAGTCTCTTCAAACGGAAATCTACTCTCTCCGGCCATGGGCTACGTCCTCCCCAGCAGCCACACGCTCTGGCATCCTCCGGTCGCCTCGCTGGGCAGTCAGGGAAGCAATAGCAGGGCAGGCCTCCCCTCTGCCTTACTGACTCCTGCCTCGAGGCTGCCCTGGGTCACGTCGGTGCCCAATGGCTTCTCTCCCCCCCTCAAAAAAACCACCCAGGGAGCCCTGGAAAGATTCTGCCACACCCAGAGGAAAGCATGCTTTCCCCAGTCCGCATTTCAACATCTGCTTCAGGTCTGACGCCTGGAGATGTTCCAGCAAGGACCCTCTCGGGCAACGTGCACTGGCCCGGTTGGAGCCTCTGATGCTCTGGAGCGTTCGCAGAGGCGAATGCAGGAGAACAGGCTGCCTTAGGAGCCCCCGGGGTAGAACCGTCAAGACCAGCAGCCTCTGCAGACTGTGGCAGTGTGTAGTGGGAAGGGGTCCTCGAGGCCATCTAGTCCAACCTGTCCCGAGCAGGGATCCAGATGAAATCATCCCAGGCAGGTCCCTGAAAGCCCAAGGAGACCCCCGGGGAAGACTCGAGAGGAGCAGGCCGGCAGACGAGGCATACTTCACATTAGAGGGAGAGCGTGTGACGGCGCCTCTAATCTTGCACGTCAAGTTGTTGAGGCCTGTGATGGTGCTGTTGGCATAGACGTGGAGGCAAAGCAAGCATCTGGGTTTGTTCAGGTCTGGTCCCCACGTTAGCATCATTCTCCTGCAGTTTCTTGCAAAGAGGTGGGGCTTTGATCACCTGATTAGGGCCACCATCTTGACTGTTTTGACCCTCCTGTGGGCACTCCTGCTCTCATGGGCAAGGCTAGGATCTTCCAAGTTTGGGGAGGGAATATGGCCTTTTCATTACTGCAATGCTGTCAAGCTTGCTTGGGAAGCTAAAAAAAGGGACTTCCCAATTTAAAACGGGGGCAACGAGATTGCTGAAGCCAGATGGCGTGACTGGAAGGAGCTTGGACAGCTGCAAAAGAGCCGCCTTTCCAACTCCCGTATTCCAACCCTGTTTAAACTTTACAAGCAGTGTGATGAATTTAAAAACAATGTTTTAGCCATGGCTTTGTTTGCAGAGTACGGCTACAACTCCACATACTAAGCTCGGGTGTTGCTGCTGTTATTTTTGCGGCACAGTGTGTTGCCTGAAGCTTCTTTCTCAGAGTAATATCTTTTTTGTCAGACTCCAGGAGTTCAGGCAGCATCTCCTTCCATTTTTCTGCAAAACAACAACCCTGAGAGGTGGGTCGGATGAGAGAGAAAGAGAAACTCACCCAACGTTACTCTGTGAGTTGCTGTGGATGGACAAGGAGAACCTGAATTTGGTTCTCCCAGTTCTGGTCTAAAACGTCAACCACCATTCTGGCCCTCATGGAGTCTAGATTACAGTTTGGGTTATTGTGTGAACCAGCCTAAGCCATTAGGCGAAGTGTGTGCTTTCTGACAGCAGCCATGGAGACTCTAGAGCATCTAGCTACTCAGCAGCACGGAAGAGGCTCACTGCACAAACTCAGAGGCATTCTCTTCAGCCTGCTTGTTTCCCATCTCCCATAGCGTTTGGACAAAACAGAAGGCTTCTCCGTTACAGTTGTAGTGCTTGGGAACCCTCCTCCCCACCAACAGGCCCTTTTCCGTAAGCCGCGAGTCTTCCCCAAAGGCAGGGTTTGGGCACAGGTGCTGCCAATCTCACGCCAACTTGAGCACAAAGTACCTGCTGGAGGTTGGCTTCCCAAAGCTCCCCCTATAAAGAACTTGCGTGTGCAACTGGAGATAAGGAGTGGAACCCAGAGTACACACAGGCACGCCAGGTGAGGACAGGAGGGGCCCTGGCCTGGCCATCCCACGGGGAGGCTGTCTTTGGTCTCCAGGCAAGGCGTGGCCAGCGAGTTCAGCTCCCAGTCCGCTTCTCTTTTCTCAGCCGGCTGGCGATCTGGGCTCCAGCCTGGACCTGGAGAGCAAAGGAAAGCTAAGAGATGGAATTCCCCATTTCTTAGCAAAAGGGAGAAAGAAAGGAGGGCTGGAGGCCCTGAAGCAGCGTCCTTGTGCCAATGCGTCTGACTTCATCACAAGCAAGCCACAATGGCAGCTCTGTGGAGCATCTCTCCTTGTGGATAATCTTTACAGACATTTTCCTGGGGAAGATCCTGCACCTTCCCGGCCTCCACTGCGCAATGGTCACAGATGCTGTGGAAAAGGACCTTTCAGGGAATCCATTTCCATCCTTTTCTCAAAGATGGATGTGAATGGGCTTTGGGATCCTGAGTGGAATGTCAGCGTCACAAACAGGTCCTTGATAGGGATATTTGAGCTGCTCGGCGATGACGCCGCCTTGGTCTCGTCGGATGTTTCGTTTGGCATGAGAATACTGATCACCATAGTCTACCTGTTGGTGTGTGCAGTGGGTCTCTTGGGAAACAGCCTCGTGATGTACCTCATTTGGATCCAGAAGGAGAGGTCCACAGCAGCCATTAATATCTTTGTCTTCGGCTTAGCGGCTGCTGACTTCCAGTTCTCCCTGATGCTGCCTTTTTGGGCAACAGAGATGGCCTTGGATTTCAAGTGGCCCTTCGGCCAAGCCATGTGCAAAGCAGTTCCTTCGCTGACTCTGTTGAGCATCTACGCCAATGTCTTCTTGCTCACGGCCATGGGGGTCACCCGCTACTGGTCAGTAGTCTCGGCTATCAAGGATGGGTTAAGGATGACACCTCGGGTGGCCAAATGGATCACTGCCACTATTTGGGCCATGGCGGTGGGGATCACCATACCGACTGCTGTCTATGCCAGAGTGGTAAGCGTTGCCGGGGTGGAATTATGCCTCTTCCAATTCCCCAGCCCGTATCACTTGGGAATCTACCAGCTCCAGAGAGTAGTGTTCACCTTTGCCATCCCCTTGGTGGTCATCTTGACTTCCTACCTCCTCCTCCTCCGGTTCCTCAGAATCCACCACATTACCAGCCACAGCCTAACGCGGCATAACCAGGTTGCCTCCACTGTCCGCCTTGTGGTCGGCTGCTTCTTCATCTGCTGGTTCCCTAACCACGTGGTCACTGTCTGGGGCATTCTGGTGAAATTCAAGGCTCTGCCCATGGATTACACCTTTCACTATCTCCACGCGTATGTCTTCCCCCTGACCACATGCTTGGCTCATGCCAATAGCTGCCTCAACCCCATCCTCTACTGCTTGATCCGCCATGAGTTCCAAGAAGCGATGAAGGATACCTTTCGCAGGCTGTCCTCCATCGTTTCGTACCAGTCTTTCTCTTCCCGCAAGATCTGGGAGGGGGGTGCGCTGGTGGGTCTCCCTCTTGGCTCCTTGAATGTTCCCGGCAATCCTCAAAGGGGAGCAAAGGAAGATACCGTCCTCTCTACCATCTTGGAACCAGAAAAGTAAGACTCTGCTGCCAGAGGACTAGGGGTGGGGATCATCTGGACCTTGAGGAAGATGCTTCAGACCTGACCCCAAATTCCATGATCGTAGTTCCAGTCAGGGCTTTATCAAATTGAGGATCTGTGCAACTCAGGACATGCATTCACAGTTGAAACTCAGCCTCAGCAACTTTAACGGCACAAGAAAATTCCTTGACTATATCCAGTTGCATTGCTTTCTCCAGTGACCCATTGCATCATCTTCTACCTGACATCTAGAATTAAGAGGAAAAGAGGTTTCCAACTAGAGAACAGGATTTCGAGATAGTTTTGTGGCCCTGCCCCTGATGGTTTGAAGAGACCGAAGTGGAGGTCTGGAGCATGATCTGAGCTTATCCTTGACCTTCTGCACTGCTCTAAGTTGTAATGTGATTGGTTTGGTTTTTATTTAGCAATTGTGTAATCTGTCATTGTGGTTTGTCAACCATGGTTGGGTACATACCATGGAATGGGGATCTGTCTATTGTGGTTTAATCAATAAATGATGGTTTTAGCATTAGAGCCAAACCAGCCTAACATTGCTGCCCAATTATTTCAACAGAGAGCTCCTACCCCAACTGTAACTGCTCATAAACATTTCCCACTGAAGCCCCCCAAAGGACATGATATGGCTAACTTTAGTCCCTAAAATGGCTGGGCCTTTTCCCACTGGCCAATCACATACACACACACACACACACACACACACACACACACACACACACACACACACTAGTTGGCCACCAGGATCACAAGATCATGGGCTTCAGCCCCAGATTTATACTTTGCAGCATCTCTAGATACAGCAGAAAACTATTTTTAAGGGGATGATTATT